TCCCTTGGTTTCTTTCTCCCTTAGAAATAAGGGAGGTGGCTAGATATTCAACAGGGCCCCTTCCAGCTTGGGAATCTCTGATTGGAGCAGCAAAACTGTCCCAACTAGAAAGCAGCTGGGAAAGTGGGTGCCTGGCTGGTTGGCAAAAGCCCCAGGCAGAGGCAGACAAAGGTGCCCTGTGCAGGAGCGGCCTCCAGCCTGGTTGAAGGTTCCATGAGTTTCCATACCCAGACCTAGGGGCTTCCAAGAACCACAGTTAAAAGTTATTACTTAAAAGGTGCCAGTTTACTTTGTGTTCCTAGAAGCTGTAGTCCAGGAAAAGTGGGGGGAGGTGAGAGAGACCAAGAAAGGGAGAGAGAGCGTGATCAGGGAAAGTGGAAAGAAGAGGAGAGGGAGAAAGAGGAAAGAAGACAGGAGAGAGGGGAGGAGATGACAAGAGGTGAGTCAGAGACAGGACGCAGAGACTGAGCCCAGGATACTGAGACAGGCTTCAATTATAGGACAGACAGCAGGAGCTGGGGATGCTGTGGCTCTGGGCCAACTTTGCCTTCCTTTAGCCTGAGGCGCTCTGCCTCACCACAAAAAGCAAGCAGCAGCTTTCTTAAAAGACAGGCATAGCATGGCGGGATGGTCATCGTACATGTTCCTGGTTGGCCTGGAGAGAACAGACACAGGATCCTCCCCTAGGAAGCAGCCCCAGCCCCAAGGGAACCCACACCAACAGGGCAGGAGCAGGCTGTCATGGTGACTGACAGCATCCCGAGGCCCTGAGCAGATCACTAAGTCCTGCCTTCAATCCTAGGCTACTTCCTGCCTCATGAATCCCTGGGATCTTACTATGCCGATAATCACCAGCCTGGGACTAGTGCGGGTGTCCAGCTCTTCACACACCAAGAACTCAATCCCAAAACACCACCAAACTGTGACTCCTCATTTCAATTCATGGAGGAAAAACCCAGCAGTCCCGTTTTTCAGAGCCTGCATCTTAACTGCTACTCTATATTGAAATCAAATGTGATAACCACCCAGAAAGGTACAGTGTCCTGGGAAAGGGCCTAAGGTATTTTTGGTTCTGCCTCCTACATGCAGCGTGACTTAGGGGAAGTGACTAGTTTGTACAGTGCTGGTTTCCTCATCTCTAAAACTAGAATAACAACTCTGTAGGGTTAATTTGAGGATTAAGGAGAGAATATGAACCACTTGGCACACTTAACCACTTAGGGTCTGGCCCAGGCAATGATCAATGAAGGTTTTGTCATCTGGGCCAGGGCAAACCTTCAATCCCAGGCTACTTCCCTCCAGCCATGCCCTGCATGCTAAGAACTAAAGGGAAAGGATCCTGGCACACATGGAGAATCATCTGGGTGCCCAGCACTGTGCCCAGGGGCTCACAAGGGTAGCCATAGAGGTGCCTGTGCCCTGTGAGGGGTGAGAAGTCTGGACGGTGATCCCACACCACAGTAACCTCCTCTGCTCCATGGGTCCCCGCCCTGCCCCACCCTCAGCCACTTGCAGGGTGTCCTTGGGTGGGGCAGTCAGGGCAGAGCAGGGCAGGGCTGAGCAGGAGGCAGCAGGAGGCACTATCAGCGCAATGCAGGGTTGGAGAGGAGTTCAGACTGGTCTTCCTATCAGCAACCAGCCCTGTGCTGAACTTCACTGCCAGCTTAAGTTTGCCTAGAGAGTGGGGCCCTGTGGTCTCTGCCCAAGCCCTTCCTCTGCTGGAATGGCCCTGGAAGCAGGAATGAGAGTGGTCCCCTGGGAACCAGAGAAAGCCATCAGGCTTGATGCCACCAGGTCATCTTGGGCAAACACTTCCCTCTCTAGGTCTCAGAGCCCCATCTGTGAAACTGAGGGTGGCAGACAGCTGGATAGGGTGGCCCTGATTCCCTTCCCTTCCTAAAGTCCCAGTGTGGTACCTTTGATTACTGACGAACCCAGCCTAATTCCATCTTAAGATTGCGAGCCATCTCGTCACAAAGTCATGAAAAGTTAATTTCTGTTTTACTATAAATTACTGCGATTTCTAAACTTGCTTGGAATACCTGTCTGTGCCTTGAATTCACCCAAGTCTGGCTTTCCCTGACCAGATAACAACCCTCTCTGAAGCCCTAATGGCACCTCATAAATTCTGATGTTGGGATCTAAATTTACTCCCTAAGTGCTGAACCATTTCCTTCGTATTATGCTTGTCAAAATCCTGTTGTCTCTAAGATCTTGAGACACCCCACTTTTTGCAACTTTTTATACTATAAAACTGCGCTTCTAGAGAGCTGGAGGACTGCCTTCTAACCAAAGGATTTTGGGAGAGACAGTCCTGGCCGGTCAGAATTATATGCTTGCTTTAATTTGATTTAAAATTGGAGTTGGTGGTCTATTCTTTGCGTTGTGATTTAACAATTACCTTGAGGATGCCAAGCCTGGGTAAAGGGAAGACAGATTCTCCTGTGGCACATGAGTTGGTAGCAGAGCTGGGTGACTGGGTTGAGTCTCATGCTATATGCCCTGACTTCCCAAGAGGCCCATGAGGAAAGGTCTGGAAATGGGAAGGAGCTACTGCTAGGCTCTCCATCCCAGGTTCTAGGAGCTTGTGAGCACCTTGTAGCCCTGCAGGCGTGGGGGACCATTCCTTGGCTCTGGCCCAGGGATGGCAGAGTTTCCTGGGTATGTGGACAGTGGGCCTCATAGCTGGGCTCTGATAACACCCCTTGCCTTATCCGTGGGCCAGGGACTGGGTGGGGCATATCTGAGAATCAAGGGCACATTCAGAAGAAACGAAGAGGGGGCAGAAAGGGAAGAGGGTGCAGCCCAGTTGAGGCCTCTCAACTTGGCAAGGAGTCACAAGACTGGCCCAAGGCTTAGGGTAGAGGGTATGATAGAGGACGTCAAGGGAAGGAATGTTCTATGTCCCATTTAACGCTCAAGAAGAAGTAAGCCTGATCCAAGGGCCTTTCTTAAGGAAATTCTAGGAATCCTAGGCTGGGGGCAAGGGGCAGACACAAAATCTTCATCCCAGAGCAGGAAGTTATTGCCTTTGGAAAGGCCATGCCTTCTTTTGAGAATATGAGGGAAATTACATCCTTCCCCAGTGGGGAAACTGAGGACCAGATTGTCAAGGAGATGTTTCACATCTAGCTTAGGACTTGGAAGACCCTTGCCTGAGACAGAGTGAGGCCCTGTATACCTGAAGGCAGGGAGTCAATGAGTGCAGACCTGAACCAGGCAGGATGGCAGGGGGATAGGCAGGATGGCAGGGGGACAGTCAGTGGGGCTGGAGGAGGCAGCATGAACTTCCCAGAGACTGGGGCCTGGCCTTCTCGGCCCCCCTTGGAGCTGGACTCTCCCCAGCACTCCCCCATTCATTCAGTATCCATGATGCACATCCAGGCCTTGGCCCAGGCTCCTGGACTGCCTCTCTCCTCCCTCACCCAGATCTAGTTTATCGGGAGGGCTCTCCTTTGGGAATGAGCTTGGGAGCCTCTGGCTTCCCCACTCGGCCTTTCCCCCTGTTGGTCAGCAGGGTTGAGCCATCCCTCCTGCACACACAGGTTCACAGGCACTAAAACCTGGGCACAGGGACTCAAAAAGACTCCTCCCCTCCTTCTCTGCCATGTGCCCATGAACTTGGGATTCCCAGACAGAGGAAGTGAGCAGGAATAAGATTTGAGAAAAGCCTTAAGCCCCAAAGGGACTTGAGCCCAGGGAGATAGATACTGGGACAGGGAGAGAGGATGAGAAGAGTTGGAGTTCCAGCCAGGGCAGGCGGGTGGGGCTGGGCCTGGGCTTCCAGGGACTGGTGGGGGAGGGAAGGAAGAGGGAAGAGCAGTCTTGTGGTGGGACTCTGTGGTCTGGAGAGTTGGAGACACATCCTGCATCGTAGGTCACCCACCTCCTAAGACTGAACAGGGAGGATAAGGGGCTGGGTGAACAAGCCCCCAAGGCTGAGCTCATACCAACATGCGCGCACACACACACACACACACACACACACACACACACACACACACCCTAGGGGACGTGCATCTGACCCCTTGGGTGACATCCTTTTGCTTCCACCTTCATTACATAAGATGGTTTCACCCGGATACAAGGATAGAAGGAAGCAGTATGGTTTGTGGCTGTCCTGATGCTTCATGTGGCAAGATGATATGGGGTCCTTGATACAAATTCAGAGCGCCCCACAACCACCACCACTACTCTAGAAATTCTGAGATGGTCGGTTGCCCTACGTGGTGGAGAAAATAACCATGGATCATTCCAGCTTCATTCATTGCTTGCCTGCTGTGCACCAGATGAAACTCCTCATCTCCTCCTCCAACAACCTACTACGAAGGTGATATTATTCCCAGTCCTAAGGTCACACTCTGGAGACTAACAGACACGCTGTTTGATGTGCCCCCCTGCCCCAAACTCTGGGGCCTACAGACTCATAGGACCTGAGTGGACCCCAGAGACAGGACCAGAACCAACACCTGATGCACTCCAGCAGGAGGAAGGGACCAGGGTGGGACACAGTTGCAGAAGAGATGCTGGATGAATGTCCCCATTCTCTCACATCTCAGGACGAGGCAGCCAGGAGGTGGCTCCAGAGTGCCACAGGCTGGCTCACCTCCCACAAGAGGGCTGGGCCAGACCTGGTTTTCAAATTCCTGAGCAGAGGGCACCCCCTGCAGTCAGACAGGGGTGCTGCAGGGCAGGGTCTCTTCATCCCCAGCATTGACATCCAGGCTGGGGGTTTTCTCTCCTCTCATCTCCAGCCCTTGCCAGGAAGCCAGCCAGGTCAGTCACTGTGATTATTACTGTTGCCACATTTTAAGGATGAGAGAAATGCTGAGTGTCTTGCTCAAGGTCAAAGAGCCAGACAGTGTTGGTTCCTGAGGTTGGGTCTCCAGAGAGCTAGGATCTTCCCTTCGAGGAGGGATTTTTTTCCCAGTTCCTCAGAACTTCCCTACACCCCCAGGAAACACACTTCTCTGAACCTAGAACAGACAATGCAGAGCAGCTGCAGGAAACAGCAAAAAATATTTATGAGAATTTAACAGGCACGGGGGTCTTGGCATTCCCAAAGGGAGTGAATGAGAGTTCGGCACAAAAGACCTCCATGTGGGGCTCACGAAATGAAGTTCAGGTGCACATCCTTGCATCGCTGGGTGTGAAGGGGTGAAGGGGAGGCCAAGCCTCCCCTGGGGGCTTCCTGCTGCAGCATTGGGCTGATGGGAAGCTAAACACAGAGTCAATACATGGGGGCTCTCCCTGACCTCCACCCCATAGCTCCCAGTCAAGCCCCTGGGTCCCTGGAGACAGGACAAAGGAGAGGGCTGGCAGCACAAGTCACTACAAGGACCTTTAAGGGGCATTGTGGGTTACCCACCCCACTGCACTCCTAATGCTCCACTCTGTATGTTTCACATGGGGACTTCAAGTAAAAATTTCCATTAAAAAAATTTCTCCTATAAAACATGATACACTACAGGACTGGTCTCAGTCCTCATTAATAGCTGAGGAAACTGAGGCCCAGAAAGGTAAGGGACTGGCCCAAGGCCAACTAAAAAGTTAGCGGTGCAGTCTTTTCTCTCTGTCTATCCAGGGACACCTGGGTGTGCTGTGAAGTCCTGTGACCTGGACCCCACACCCTCCAGGTCCATAATCCTGCTTCAGTTTCAGGGCCAGCCCATCCTCAGACGCTTGCCCCAACACATATGCAACCCCCAGACACCCCTCTCCCAGTGCACACCTGCTACTCCTCACCTCCTGGAAAGCTGCAGCCTTGCCACTCCCTGGGGGGCCCTGCCCACGTGTGTAGAAACCCAGAGTTTGAGATGTGGGCCCAGGGAACACTGTAGGATGGTGTGGGGAGGAGTATCTTGGTGAGCACAGAGCGTGCAGGGAATCCCACTCGGTTACTTCCTCTCTCTGCAGCCAGACAGCTTCTGACAAATACCTGCGGAGTGACAGGACAAATGCAAGGAGTCACTACCCCCCTTGGCCTGGTCTCCCTGGCCACCCTCATCCCTCAGCTTGGAAAGCACAGAGCCCAGGGCTCTCATACAGGAACCTCATCCAGGCTGCAGTTCCCCACTACCCCATTTCTTGGGGCAAGAAATTAGAAAGGCAAGAGAAGAAAAGTTCCCAGAGGCTCCCAGAGTGCCCTGGAGAAAACTGCAACAGAAAAGACAGTGGATGACAGGGCCTGGGAGCTGGGGTCAGGGACCAGGGAAGAAGACCCAGCTTCACCTCACGCCACCAGCCTCAGGGTCCACCACTTGAGCCTCTGGTTTACCAACTCACTTGGATCCCAGCATGCACAAATGGTCAAATACCTGTTGCTGGCACGGCCCTGGTAGAAGAAGTTGTCCCCCTGAAGGAATTGTTCCTGGAGAGAGGTGGGAATGGGAAGAGGAGCTCAGAACCAGCAGGATCAGGCAAGGCCATCTCCAGTGACCCTCCCTAAGTTGGTTGACTAAGCCAGGGCTCAACCCAGGCCTGGAGCAAGACTCCAAGGGAGGGAAGCCCAAGAGTGACCCAGGGCCTCCTGCCTTCCTGGGCTTCTAGGAGGAGTGACTCTCCCTCGACCCACTTGTGAGCAGCTCTCCCCAGACAGTGCTGACACTGCACCCACCTCTCCTGCCTTCCCAGGGCTCCTCATCACCTTGTGCCTCCCTGTGCAGGATCCTTGCTCTGTCTCCATTGGCCACACCTGTCCTCTCACCCATCTTTCCAGATACTTTTTAGGATCTTCCTTGTGCTGCTCCAAAGACTGTTACCACCCCACTCCCACTTCACTTCCCCACCTTTCATTTTTTTAAAAAAATGTGCCTTTATTGAATTTCACTATCTGGGAGGGAAAGGGCAGCAGGGAGGCCCAATTATAGTTTCCTAGTCAAAAATCACATGGCCAGGGCTGGGCTATAGCTCAACGGCAGAGTGCTTACCTAGCATGCATGAGGCACTAGGTTCGATCCTCAGCATCATATAAAAATAAAATAAATAAATTAAAGGCATTCTGTCCATCTACAACTATAAAAAAATTTTTTAAATATTTTTTTAAGAAAGAGAGAGAGAGAGAGAGAGAGATAGAGAGAGAGAGAGAGAGAGAGAATTTTTAATATTTATTTTT